GAAGATGGGTAGCCTAAGGAGGTTTAAGCAGCAAAGCATAAGAGAGACATGTTATGAGGACTGCTATAGTACTGAGAATATAACTCAGGAAAAGGGTGTTTTGCTCATCATCCATACTTCGCGCAGTTCCAAGGTGCAGCTGATGAGGACTGACACACCGCACCTGCCAGCAGGCAGCATTACAGGCGACTGGACAGTTGCACTGCCAAGACCCATGACAAGTGCCTTCCCAGAGCAAGCGCAGCCCAAACACAGCACCTTTGTGTCACCGCTGCAGCTGCCTGCACATTGAAGGTGCCCCAGGGAAGCAGATACAGCCGGTTAATGTACCAGCCCCTCAGTAAGTAAGGGGGCAGGCTGGCAGTCGGCAGCATTCAACACCACTGCCTGGGGTGTGATTTAGTTTTTCAGCTGATTCAATCAAACATAAAAGGACATGGAGAAATTACAGACAGGCAACACAGGACAAGCAGTGCAGCAGGGTGGTTAAGCAGGGAAGAAGCTACTCACGTCTAGAAGGCACAAATGCCATGTGACTGTCCACTAATTTTGCAACAGAGAGGCCAAGCACCACCACCGCCCTCCATGCCTGGGAACGTCCAAGCGCTCCACATCCCTTCTAAATTCTGCTCCTCTAAAAGGAGTTGTGCACTGGAGCCTCTCAGACTGCTAGTACGCAGGACAATCATAGGTGGTGACACTTCTGTACTCTGCCACGTTCAGCCTCAGAGCATGAAGGAAGGGAGGAATAACAGCAGGGGCATATGACACTAAACATAAGTATTAAACAAGCCTATACCACCCCCCACCCCCCCCATACTTACCAACCGCAGAGAGTGAGACTGTAGGCTTCCTGGTGTCTCTGAAACAGAACATGGCTAATGTGAGCACCCACAGCATAGCCCAGCAGGTCCAGCCTCCCCAGTGAGCTCCTTGCTATGCCAGGACTAGTTTTATTGCTGCCTCTTGGGACCAAACGTGCCTTCTGCTTACCAAAATACACCATGTTAAATGGAATAAAGAGGTGACCAGCTGGAGGACAGCAGCCATTCTGTCTTGCCACCACATACAGCAGGAAGTTTAGGACATCAGATGAAGTTGGAAGGGACTAGACGGAGGAGAAACACATGCAAAGTGTGGCAAGTTGCAACCGGGCAGGCAAGGAAACACTGGGCTCACAAAGTATTGCTGCAGGAAGCAACAAAACAGCCTTTCCCAGGAGGATTAAAAGGAACAAAGCTGTGGAAAAACTCGACAAAAGCCACTGATGTTTTTGTCAAGCCTTCGCAGACCCTGATTCAAGGCAGATGGGGCAGTGACTTCAGAGGAAAGACTTCATGTTTAGCATATAACAACAAAATTAGTAGGAAATAAGACTAGCTATGTGCAGACACTACAGACCAAACCCTGCAGTGGTAGATGCCAATGTGGCACCATGACAACTCCTAACAGCCAGGACACGGATCGAGGCAACAATTCGCTCCTTGACCTTGTTCCTCAGAAATTCACCTGCCCTTTCATGAAAAATGCCAGGAAAATAAGGAATATTGTCCTCAGCTTTTTGTGTTTGCTGAAAAGCAGAACATTTTCTGGAATGGACCGCCATCTCTCCCCCTAAGAATTTCTGCCTAAACAAAAAGTTATTTTCTATGAAAAATTAAGCGGGGAATTTCCAGCTACCCTTACTGCAGGGCTACCTCCCTAGGGTGTCATTAGAGACAGACACTTCAACAGGATGTTCATTTCCTGGAGGCCAGCAGCCCCAGGACCACACTGCCCCAAGCAAGCTCAGAGACCTCACTAGTACAGGTGGAATGTAGAGGCTACTCAGAGACTGCCTAAGGAAGCGTTTCTGGACAAGTGATGCATGTGGACACAAAATGATGGAAGAGCACAAAAGAGTTAAATCAGGGCTTCCGGTAACAACCTTCAGAGAACTCTTATTTTTTGCTTGGCACTAAGATAGTATCGCAGGAAAACACAACCAGCAGTTATTGTCTCTATATGTCTTTTAATTACACATTAATAATATATTGCCATTCTCAAGCACCATTTAACCAAGGATCTAAGTGCTTCACAGGAGCTAAACAAGCTTCAGGGTAGCCTGGTGCAGTGGGGTTATAGAATTATCCTCCTATTACAACTGAGCAAGGGAGGCAGAAAGTAATAAAGCGACTTGCTGGGGGCCATAAAGAGTTGCTGTATGGCCTGCAAGAGAACCCAGCAGTCCCAAGCACCAGCTCCTTGCTTCCCAGGTGTAAAATAAGGGGTTTTAATATTGGTGGTTTTGGAAAGATCTGCAACCCTGAAACTACTCAAGATAGAAAGCACCAGGCATCAAGGAAAGGCACACACAGGAAAATGTCCCTGAATACCACTGCCAGTCTTCCCACTGAGGGAGAGCCAGCAACAATCACTGAATTTAGTGGAAAATGGCTGCAGGATCATGAAGTGCTGCTCATTCACTCAGCTAAAAAACCCAACAACCTGAGGATCGCCCTTGGGTTCTAGGAAAAGCTCCTGAGGAAAGATATGAAATGAGTAGCAAGTGAAGCCAGCCAGTTTTTTTTTCCAATCAGGAGCACGACTGTCTTAACTGCAGCACTCTACCATCCTTCATTGACTCTGAACTGGCTTGAAAATAGGGGAATAGAAGCCATCTTTGAGATTATGGGAAGCAGATACAGCCCCTGCAAGCGCAGCCGAAAAGCAGGACCCATCAGTGCATACTTTGCCCTTCAAGCTGCTAATTATGGAATGGAGTCCAATGATTTCCCTGCAGTGCAGAAACATACTGATTCTTACTTGATGTCCCAGATGTAGATGTATGTGTCAACAGAACTGGTGACCAGCAGGTCTGGCTCAAACACCGCCCAGTCCAAGTCGCTGCAAATGCAAAATCATAGTAGGTCAGCACAGAAAAGCATATGCAATTGGCAAAAACTTCTCACAAGCCCCCAGCTCGTTTCTTTGACAAATTCATGGCCACTCCATGACACCTACTGAAACTTTTAAAGTGAAAAGCAAGATCTTAATCATTTCTCTAAGTAAATTCCAAGAAGCAATGAAATGCTTCTAAGTAAATTCCAGTGAAGCATCCTCCTAGCCCTGAACTTTACAGCTATCATGTGTGTGCGCTTTTTCCTCCACAGTAAAAGGGACACTGTCTCAGCAAGTTCCTAGTTACTCCCCATTCTTGGCATCAACCTCTCACTCTGGGATGCCTTCTTGTTGGGCTCACCAGGTGCACCTGGGACACAAACAGCCTCCAGTCAGCCATTTCAAGGGCTGCAATTACTTTCCACCAGTCAGGAGCTGGAGTAAAAACAGTCCTTCACCTGCATTTCCAGCCCACCACTAAAACACACCCCTAGAACCAGAGGCAGAAATCTCCCATGCACCACCATAACACACTGAACTTGATCTTTGGGATTACCTGCTTTAATTAAGCTATCACACAGAAACATGGCTGCAATTCAATTTAACAAACATGCTACTGTTTCCTAGATGATAGTTGCTGTTCACTACAAGGACAGCAGCCTAAGGCAATGACACTCAAGCCATCAAAGGCTAAGTTAATATACTGGGGGGAGCCATGAGAGAGTGAGCTGCTTCACATCCCATATCTCCAAATGGGAAGGCAGGACAAAGGGGCAGACACAGACAGTCCAGAAAAGTAAGTAAAAACAGGCTCAGAGCAGAGCCTGAGCGGGGCCAGGACCGAAACATGCATTTTCTATGAAACAACCCATCGTTTTCCACCCAGCAGTCCGCAGCATCACTTCTTCCTCACCTGATCACACGTGTGTGTCCTTGCAGCGATGTGCAAACTTCACCATTACCTTCCTTCCACTTATACAGGTCAACTCGCTGATTGCTCTGAAATTAGACGGAAGAAAGGAGAGAGTGTCAGGCGAACAAGGTAGGACAGGAATCCATCTGTCAGGACCAGGTTCCCTTCACTTTGAACAACCTCACTTACCGATGAGTCACACTGTGATTAGCAAAGTCCTTGCCCAAGACAGAAGAGCAAAGATGAACCTACAGGCTGCAAGGACTCTCAAAAGCTTACACTTCAATTACACCCACTTAAAATGGGTGATAAACAAGAATGGGAGAAAAAAAAAAACAAAACATCACAATGCAAAATGTTTCCATGAAATTATGTTATCCGAGCTTTTATTTCCTAACAACATGCTGGAACTGCAGGCAACAGGCAGCCAAAACCTCCCTGCAGGAATACGCTGCCAGTCTGTTCAGATTCACAAATGGAGTTTTCAGTGAGGGGGATGATGGATCACCACTGGTTCTCCTCAACTCTCCCTCGATTCCCTCCTGGGATAATCAGGGCCATTGCCAAACATGAACAATACAGTCTAATGGCTTCAAGGTCACCTCCTCTCAAGGGTACTTCCATCCTTGCCAGCCCAGGAAAAAAGGCTTAAGTGCTTATCACTAACTGTAAACCACAGGAGCAAACCAGATGAATCAATGACAACATTATTTAGGGCTTCTTCACTCATTCCAGGAATAAATCCTCCCCCACATGCAGCCACACACAAAGTTACTTGAAACTAGTTACTGTGTTTTAAGATCATGTTCTGCCTCAGTCAAGGTTCACTTCAGCCCAAGCAGACTCTTATCTTTCTGGGGCGGGAAATGCCTTTTTGGGTGCATATATAGATCACCAAGCACAGTGGCTCTTGGGCCATGACTGGAAATTCATGTTGATTTTGCAAAAAGAGAAATAACATGACTTCAAAATTTGATCTTCATTAGCCTCTTGTTTTCAGACTTACCAGTAGATGAGGGGAAAGATAATAGAGAAAAGACTTACGGTTTTTGTGACAGGTTTTTGTGGTGGGGTTTTGGGGGTTTTTTTAAATGCCAAAGCTGCTTCATATGAATTTGAACTTGCAGATGGATAAAACACTCCATCCTTCCCTGAAATGGAAGGTCTCCTCCAAGCTCAGCAATAATATATGGCATTTCTCTAATAGCTCACAGCAGGGCTGCACAAAAGCTTGGGGCAAGGAAAATTCCTTGCATGTTTCTGACTGACAGAAGGACTTAAGAGAGTAGAGCAAAAGTACCCAACGGGATTTTGTCCAGGACTCCAGAGTTGATGCTGTAAGATAAGGATCACCAGAAGTTTCTCAGACTCTTAGCGGGGCTTCTTACATGGAAAGCATTGCCTGTAGCACCAGGTGTAGGGGAACGACAGCTCCCCCCATCAGAAGCATTTTCTAAAAAATGTGCTTCCCATGACAAGTATCAGTATACACTTCCAAGAATTTCATCACCCTCTTGTTCAAGCTTTTGTAACACACAAAAGAAGTAACAAGGATCTGTGACAGAAAACAATGGCATTTCTGAAACAACAGCTTCGGAGTCCTCAGAAATGTGCTTGAGCCAGAGGGCAAACACAGCCAAGCACAGCAAGAGGATATGTTTGAGCTCTTTTGGAAAGAAGCTAAAAAAAACAAGAAGCCCTTATCCAAACACAAGGACAGACTTCCCCTCTGCCTGCACCACTTCAAATTAACAGCACTGCAAACTGGGTGAAGCTGTTGGCAAACAGGATGGCAGCCTTTTACACTCCCTTTCCATCCACAGGGATGCAGAGGGATAAGACCCTCAGGGCTGTCCACAACACAATATGTTCAGGTATACCTGAACGTATGATAGCCTCAACAGTGGACTCATGGGGGACTGACAACCAGCTTGAGTCCAGAAGTGGCAAATCATATCTTCACAGTGCTGATCCAAGTTGATTTAGCCCTCCCAATGTATCTTTGCCCCTTTACATATGGCCCTCAAACACATCCACGCTGCCTCCAGACCAGACCTGGGACACAGAAACCTAAGCACATGGTGTAAGTCTGCTTTCCATCTCTAGGACTAGAATTTAGCCTGTGTGTTTTAGGACAGGCTGTAATGCATCAGCACCAAAACGCCAGCCAACTGTGAGATGGCTGGAAAGGAGGTTTGACTCAAACTGGAAAAGCTGCCTGATCTCATCTTGTGGATTCTTCACCTGATGTATGTCAACAACTACGACTAAATCGCCATAGCACTTTAGCATCTTAATTTATAAGTGGGAGCAGCAAGGTTTGATGCCAGCTACATCCAATTTCAGTCTGGAACAAGATGGGTTCCTGTGTTCCCTCAGGGCAGCAAGAGATGGGAGCGCTCAGGTGGGAAGATGGGCACAGCTCCCTTACGCAGCAGGGTCCTGCTCAGATCAGCATTAACCAATCACTGGATATTACCCTTCAGAGTGTGTCTGAAGGAAAGCTTTCCTGCTCTACTCACAGCCTGCACAGCACATTTACTTATGTGGTTTTCATTTTCACAGCCTGTATCCAGAAGTGGCCCTGAAGGACACCTTTTTGCAAGTTTTATTAACTCTCCACTCAGCGGCAGACAGCTGCTGAAGGCAACTTTAAGATGTCAGTCGTGGACCAGAGCTGGGAGGAGAAAAGCTGGGAAATGTCAGAGAGCAAATAAAGGCTCCTAAGTTGTAACACTGGTCCACTCTTAAGACTATCTTTAATTTCAATCGTAGCCAGCCCAGGAAGCAAAAGGAACAAAAATCCCAGGAAAACACCTTCAGCTAAGTGTCTTCTCAAAAAAACAGATGAAATCTCTCCACCCCCAGCTATTCCAGGACGCTCAGGCTATAAAAGCAGATGCCACACAGCAGCAAAAGCACCTCGCCGTGAGAATAGTGCCAGTTGCTGCAGCGCTGTGGTTGATGGCTAAGACTGCCACTAGCAGAAGCTCAGGTCTCTGGGTGAACAAGCTATAAAGCATGATAGCCCGAGTAAAGATCAGAGCTAAAAACTGCACTCAAGTCTCAGATGGACACTACTGTTTCTTCAGACCAGCCTATTTACTTCTCCACACATGGAGTAAGAACTCCTCGCTGACTCGGTCCCTGCCCATCTGCAAACCCAGATTGTTACAGTGGTGAGCCACTATTGACTTGTGCTATTTACAGACTGCCTGGTGCACCGCATCCCACCAGGAAGGCAGGGAGGTGAAAACAAAACAGCACAGACCAAGAAATTAAGTAAGTGCACAAATCTCATAACAGAACGGAAGTTAGAAAGAGGGCACATCATCCTCTTTCTTCCAGAAAAGGACCATTTGGATGCCTGATTTATCTGGCAAGGTGTTTTATAAAAGACAAGCAAGCAAAACTAGATTCAACACTGACCAACCAGTAACTGAGAATCATCAAGCCAAATACCTCACTGGCAGTAAATCAGAGTTAGGCCTTGATCTTGCAATGTGAATTGCAGGGGCATGCCTGCACCAGCTCCGTACAGCCTTCCAAGTCTGCAGAAGTCCACCCACTGAAGACTGGACAAGACTACAAGTTACAGCTTTTAAATGAGTGAACTTACTGAAGCCGCAAAGTAGTACGCATAGGTGTCATGCGGGTTCCACTGCACTGCCCCAATGTCCCACTTGCTCTGTCGGGAGATCTTTCGATGACCCTCATTTGGTGCATCCAGGTTGACTATGTAGAGGAAACGGCGGCTGCAAGACACACAGACACAAAGGGGTTGTAGCACACAGGACTGATCTCAAAATCCCAAGCTCCCATGGAGCTCACAGCCTTGTGTCTGGAGGACCAAAGAAGAGAAGCATTCCACAACACAGATGAAAATACTATTCCTGAGAATGCTACATTTGACCACATACTTCAAAAAAGGCTACATAAAAAAAAAGACACACTGAAATTAGACAGGAACTGCAAATGTAAGGGGTAGCTCAGACCACAGAACACCTCAGATTAATAGGATACAAAAAGAAGCGCTGGGAAATGGTGCGAACACATCCAAATATGCTTTGCTGGCCTAATGCTACAGCGGTAGAATAGCGGTGGCACAGGGCTGGGAGTGCAACACAGTAGTTTCACAGGAGCCAGCTTCAGCCTGGAGAGGTTGCTCTGAGCAGGAGTTAATGAGCCTTGACAAACATAAGACAATTGTTTCCACACCACACTGTTGGGGGGGGGGGGCACACAGATAGCTCTCCACACAGAGTTAGCTCAGCTGCAGCAGCTTGTTAACATGGGTGGACACAGCACTGCACTGATCTGATTAGATTACTTACCTGAGCTAACCCTACAGGCAGCAGAGATATATTTGCACATTGCTAAACCTGAGCTCATACATCCTGCTGGATGTGGCCAACTCCGCACAAAGCTAGGCAAGGTATCATTCCCTCCAGAGTGTGATTCATCTTACAAGCAAGATAAACCGCCCAGAAATAACTGTGAGCCAGCTGAACTTTAATAGAAGACCAGCAGCAAAACATATTGAACCATATATAATTAACCACACCAGCATCACGTATGTCAGCTGCGTAGCAAGCATACAGCTACTCTGAGCACTATGGATTTTCCCAAGAGAAGGAACACAAAGATTATCTTTGCTGCCTTTCCAGACCAAAGTCCTCAGGGCTCCCTACTCTGAAGTAAAGATGCTGAGTCCTCTGAGGCTCTTACATCACTTCAAAAGAAAGGAGGCAAATCCTGAAGGGCTGCTGAGCACACAGAAGCAGCCTGAAAAGCAGAGGGCCACAGACTCTATGTTGAATTGCAGACAGGCCATCCCCAGCTTGCTGTTGGCCCAAATAAGCAAGCTGTGAAACCAGGCAGGTGTAAGGAGGAAGAGGCGTCAAGTTAGACCCAAACAAGCTGCTGCAATGGTTATTCCTGCACAGGGCTGCCAGTCTAAGGGTTTACATGGAAGCAAGCAGGCTTGTTTTCTGTACCAAAGGACCTGTTCCCTCTTAGGCTGACCAAAGGTCAGCTGCACCCAGCTGATCCTGAATTTGAAATGAACATCCTAATTGGTGTGGTAGTTGTGTCACTGACAGCAGGACAGCCATTAGTACTGAAAGGTGGCAGCTGGGCAGGCAACTGCCAAGCTGTTTGAAGACTTGCCCTGGAGGTGGCTACAAAATGCTAAGCCCTCCTGGGAGCTCTGGCAGCTTGGAGTCTATGGCACTTGTTGATACTGCTCTTGTTGAGCATCATCCCACACTGAACCAGCAGAGGAGCAGGTCAGAGAGCCTGGCTCCTCTGCCCAAGCACAGCACAGGAATATTTGGGGCAAGTTTTGTCTAAAGGAAATGATTTAATCTGTATTTCAAGCATAGTCCAAACAGTACTTCATGATGCTCCACCTCCTCTAAGTGGATTTGGGAAAGTGTGCATCAGGAAAGCCAGTATTTTATTGTGCTGTTGTTACTGGCTTTCCACTCTGTATCCCATTGGAAATGTGACCCAGAATCCTTTCCATCAAGCCTTGAACAGAACTCAGCTGCACCTTTCTGAAACAATACGTCAGCCCTTCAATTGAGGTCAACCTGAAGGTTGCTGATTTGGCTCGTGGAAATGACTGTCATACATTTCTAATGTCACACTCACCCTGAGAGTACTGCGCGCTGTCCCAGGCAATCCACTGACATCGCAGTCGCCTGTTAAAGAGAAACAAAGATCAAAAATAAATTATACCTGTCAGGTCAGCTTCTTGGTCAAACACACAGCTTTGGGGAGGAGTTCAGGAAAACCTGCCAGCTCATCTTCAAGATATAAACTGCTATGGTAAAAGTCAAGGCTGAGATCTGTCAGGGGTGGCAGAAGAAGCGTCCCCTTAAAGAAGCACAGATGGGTGATGTGGTACAGTGGTTGATTTGGGGCTGCAGGATAGGACACAGAAAACATCTTTGTTAGAGTAACCTGAAGACAAGGCCTGACAGAGACCATTACAAACACTAAGACCTTGCTCCCTTCTCCCTGTTATGGCAATCACAGCTGCAGCCTTTCAATCAGCTATCTCTAATAATCTGTATTAATCAGACTCTGCTCCTGCTCAGAAGCTTTCTCAGTCTGTCTCTCTTCCATTGCAGGGCCAGCTTTAATTATATATGTACTGGGAGATAGAAGTGTAACTATTTGTGTATGGCTGGTCTCCAAAAATGAGAGGTGGCTAAGAAGCATCAGAATTTACTTTGGTATTGCTTGTAAAGAAGGCTAAGAGATAACTTAAATGCCATAAGAAGGGGGGAAAAAAAAAAATAGACCATTTGAACATTGTTTTCCCCTCTTTGTTCAGAATGGAACTGGCCAACCATCTCGTTCAATTGCCAAGAGAATGAAAGGAAAGTTTTACTTGGAAAGCTGAATGGTTTAGCCCATAAACACAGATGTGACTTCAATGCAGTTTTTAGCATTCAGAGTACAAAATCAGAATTGCCCCATATTCTTCAAACTAACTGCTGTCATCTTCTAAGCCACCTCTCTGAAGGCTCAGGATGTCTCTGTTGCTGTTCAGGATTCTGCTAAGTACCCTCAGCATGGGTGTAACAAGACTTCAGGATGTCCCACAGCTACTACTTATAAGCATCACTAAAACCAGACAGACAATATGGCAGTCCCACTCCATTTCAATCAGATTTGACAGGAGAATAACAATCACAAAAACCTAGTATTTTCAACGAGGGCCCCATCCCCTGCTTGCACGTACCCCAACTAAGGGAAAAACAGCATCATGGGCTCATTCTTCACTAGGGACCAAGAGTCCACATGGGAGAGCGCTACAAATGCCCCAGCCAGGCATAGAGTTTCAGCAGGGTTCTGCAGTAAACCCCAGGCCTATATCTATACCCCAACCAAGCAGAGTTTCACCGCTTTCCCATTCCAGGAATGACCTGCTTTCATTGCTTTTTCCTAGGTAGAAAATCCGGTCTTCTCACAAGGTTTTCCTAGTCCTAAAACTAATGCTGTAAATAAGAAGCCAGTTTAAAAATCTCTGAATAGTAAAGAAATAATTCCAGGTTCCTAGATTTCACAGCACCTTACAAAACAACAAAGCAGGTTACTAAATTTATAAAAAAAAGCAAGCAGGAGAAGGACTTTTTCCCAGATGATAGACATTTCATTTCTGAGGAATTAAAATGAGGATCACTAAAGCCATTACTGGAACCAGAACTTTCTCATGTGATGATGAGCTAGTCAGTCGACATATTTCATACAGCTGTGGCCATCTTGCCTCAAGACAGAAAAAAACCCCATCAATTTAAAGTGATTGAAAGTTTCATATACGAGTTTAGTTCTTCTGGACTTCATAAATCCTTACAAATTGTTTTTAATAATGAACATTGGTAAACTGTTTTTCTAGGCACCAATCATCAAAAAATGTAATGAGCAATCAGAATGAAATAAAAAGCTTCACGTGTCAGGCTGCTACTCTGGTGGATAACAAATTAAGTATTTTTATGGCAATAAAGAGTTCCCTACAATGCTACAGTCTTATCTAGGCCACAGGAAAGAAAAAAAACAATCGGCTATCATTTAATGCGCTTGGTGTATTGATATGTCAGTCTTCACAGCACTATCTTCTAGAAGGAGGGAGTTGAAGCTGAACAAACCAACCTGAAAGCAGTTTTTATCCTAAAACAATCAGGATAGCAAGAATTGCTGTTTATGAGTAACACTTGTGTGAATAAGCACAGTAGAAGCACCGCACATTTGAAAACCAGCCCCGTGCCGACAGCCCAGGCAGCATCTTTTCAGACTTCAAACATCTACTTGGCATTTCATTTGATTTCTGCTAGGCAAGCCAAGGAAGACACCTTTTCATGCCTGAACATATATTAGTTTTGAATCTAGCTTCACTGTCTTCACCTGGAAGGCAACAGACCAACCCCATTTGCCAAGGCTATACTGGTTTCCAAGAGCTGCAAATCCTTAGCAAGAAAGACCAGTTCCCTGCACAGCTTATTTCCAGTCTACACGGTGGGTTGCTACAAATGATACTATTTCACCTTTGGATGTGGTGAGCTTTACTCTCCTTTCGATAGCGCGGAGAGCCTGACAAGAAACTGCAGGTCACGTCTTAATCAAAAGAGTACAGAGACTGCCACTTCTGTCAGCTTACACGGAAAGATGACACTTGCAGGCAATACTGGCCCCAAACTACCCAGAGATTTTCTGAAGTGTTATAGGTTGGATGCTGTAGTTTTTCACACAATGCACTCTGGCATGGTGATTGAACACAACTGCAGTGTTTGCAGACACATATGGGCTATAAATGCAACAGCTTCCCACTCTTTTGACTCGTTTCCATTTAAGTTGTTTTTGGGGTAGGGATTTTGGAGATTATGTGGCCTACAGGCAGAGCTCAAGATTGGTACAGGATGATTACAGCCAAGGTGTTTCAATTTCTCAAGCTCAGGTTTCCCATCTGCAAAAATGTTTGCGCAGACTCCTAAAAAAAGCTCAAGGACAAATATATAAATGATTTTAGCTTGAAGCAGTAGTTTAGCAGTCCCAGCCACTAAAGCTCTCTGGTTTTGTATGAGAGACCAGGCAGGTCAGAAAGGCTCAAGAAAAATCACACCAGAGTAAACAAAAGCGACCAAAATACCGAATAGTTAACCTCTCTGTTAAGGTATATGCTTGCACAACAGAGACATTGAAAACAGTGGCTGCCAAAGAGGATGGAAACACCTGCTCTCTCCTCTCTCTGCTCCCACATTCCAGCCATTATAAATAAGCAATCAAATCATGACGCCACATATCTCCTGAGCCAGATGCAATCTGAATCTGTGATCTAGGAAGACGTACCTTTTTATCTCATTACCGGTTTCCCAAGGATAAATCTTCACCAGCAGACAAGACTGCTTTAACATTTCTTCCAGGAGGAAAACAAAACCAACATAAAGCTTTTGAGGTATAAAAGCAAAAAGTTTTGTGAGCTTACAGAGGGTAGGCTGGATGTGGCACATAGGATTCAGTGCTGCTACTCGCAATGGAGAACGCTGAGCTGACATTGCTCCAGCACAAGAGAACAAACTAGAAGATGAGCTTCCAGAACTATTTTTTAAATCTTTCTGTGCTTCCTGCTGAAGTAGTTCATAGTCCCCCCACCATATCCAGCTTTGCTAAGCAACTGCCAACATCTTAAAAAAACACATTTCTTAAAATAGCTTCTAAGAAAGCATGTAAGCAATCTCCGAGGGGAGTTCTACCGTAACCAGTAACTTCAAAAACAAAAGCTAACCTTCTTACTATTTATTAAAAAAAAAAAACACAACTAACCCGCTTTTCCTGCTAATCGAGCAATACTCAATAACTTATATCGCAGCCAAGAGAGCAGCTATAATGGAGAAAAAATGAGGTAATGTGTGTGAGAAGTGGCAATATCTTCTATTAGGCCCGCCAACATAGTTTAAAAAAAAAAACAGCAACATCCAATTAAGATGAGAAATAAAGTCCCTCGTGAGTTAAGGCGTTATCCCAGCGCAAACGGCTCCGAGACCGGTTCAGCCCCGTCCACACCAGGCGAAAAGCCCCGCGGGGCGGCCGAACCGGACCCCCCCTCTCGCTCCTCATAGGAACGGCCGGGCCCGTCCCGAGCGGCCCCCCGAGGGTTGGTCAGAGCGGCAGCCCCCCGGCAGCGGCAGCAATCTTCC